TCTGGGGGTGATTCAGTCAAACCTCTCCCTAGGGCTGGATAGGGGTCAAAGCTCCTCACACCTTCACCATCTCAAACAAACGGCTTCATTGTCAGCAATCAAACAGGTGGCTCCACTCCTGCAGAAACAGGTCGTTTAAGGTGACATATAAAAGCACTTATACGGGACTAAAGTTAATCTTTATCAGGCGTTAATTTAACGAAGCGCCAGCCGCAATAAACAAGCGCGACCCGTTTTTATGGCGCTGGAGTCTAGACGACATTGAATGCGCGTCTCCGGTTTAGCACGATTACGCGACTGTATTTTGAACCTTAAACCAATTGCTGTCGAAAGTACTTAATGGAAAAGGTGCGCAGTTTTCTCACCACATATCACAAACAACTTAAATAGGTTAGTACTGTATGGAGATTTATTTTCCTAAAGAGCAAGTGATAGGCGTGTAGATTAAGTATATGCTACATCCGCATGGCAATCTACCATAAAACGTGGTTTAAATTACGTACGACATAAATGCGGCACTGAGCCTCCTTTGCCTTATTGATCCATATATCGACAATCGTGTATGCTTGTCAAAATCACCAAGTGATCCGTTTAGATTTTTTTTCCCACGAAACACATAAACCGCAAGGATCTCTCGCGTATGATTTTTATTTATTTATTTTTTTAAGCCAAGCCATCTCATATGTTCTGCTACGGATGCAAAATGCAGCTGGATCACGCAGCCCGCTTACCTCCGCATATTTACTATGCACTATTTGCCTACTTCTCATTCGTTTCACGTAGCGCGGTTGGGTCCACGTCGGAAAAAAAGCGCTGACCAAGTAAAGCTGGCGGCTTTGACCGATCCCCAAGGCAGCCGCAACACGGGCCCTTACCCAACACCTTCACACCCCTTGTAATTAATGACAGGAGCGCCTTTAAATATAATTTGTCATCGGCAGCTGTTCCGCTACAGCGATTGCCCTCTTTCTGGGCAAAATAACTTTGATTTCAGTATATCCAGGCTGTGGATGTCACCGCCCCCACCGCCCCGCCTTCCTGGCTGCTTGTAGTGGGTGGATCTTGGAGGGTTGACTCACAAAGCTGTCAAAGATAGCTGTCACCCCGTGGTGCGATCAAACGCACGGTGAGCGGCGCTTTTTGCCGGTCGCGCAAACTGGGGATTTGGGGAGCCGGAGACGATGCGCCGAGCCGTGAAGCGTTAAACACGCCAGGTTAAGCCAAACCAGGTCCGAAACCGGCTGTGAAATAGCGATTTTTATTATTATTTTTTTTACTGCGGACCGACGGTGCTTGAAACACGGCGGAAAGATCCCTGGTCTTTACTTGAGGAGGAGGAGGAGGAGGAGGAGGAGGCTGGCTTGATAGCTGCCGTGAAAAAGGACATTTTCGGAAATTTTGGACCACAATGAAAGCAAGAAAAGGTACGTCGCCTTGCTAGGTAACTGATACTGCGCGATTGAACGCTGAATATAATAGTTCACTCTGTATGTTTCTGAATTCATAATGCTGAAGCGGCCCGTGGATTTAGTGAGAACTTTGCGTTTTGAAATGCGACCTAACGCGCCCAATGCGCATATTACCTGACCCTATAAAATTCTGCATTTTCTGTTACGTGTGTTTGTGGGCTGTCAAAATGATTTGTTTCCCCCTGTCTTTGCCTGCCCTGTTGTGGATTCAGACGCAGTAGCTCTGCGCTTACATGCGCTATTTAAAAATCCCCAGGCTGGACACTTAATGCTGGTATTATATTAACGTGGACATCTCTCCGTGAAACAACCGGCCAGCTACAGACATGTGTTGATTTAGCTAATCGGCCAAGTTGCCAGCTAATTAAAGTTATGAATGCACTTCTTTATTTTCACTCACAGACGCCGTTAGTTTGTACGCATGTTGTTTGTTTGTATCCATTTGTTTATCTTATTATTGTTAGACCCGAAACAAACTTTAAAAACCGACCCTTTGTGAAACTATGCTTTTGCCTGGGCAGTTTCGCATTCTTAGCAACCTCGTGAGATGAAAGTCTCACACAATAGCTTTGGTCCGACTGCCTCACTATTTTCAGTAGTTGTGCACTTTTAACTGCTCAAACCACGGTATGCATTAGTTTTGAGCACCTTTGGGAAGTGCAGAGTCGGTTTGTGCCGTTTTAAAGCGTAATGCTGATGCCTAAACGCCACATTGCAATCCCGCTTCTTTCCCTTTGTCTCCAGACTCATTTTCAACAGGTTTGGAAGTTGGCAGCAGACTCGTGCGTCGCTGCTAACCAGCTATCCGGCGAGATCACGCTAATATAGTTGTTATGGCTTCTGTTTATCTTTGGGTAAAACGACACGAGTAAATGAGACAGACGTGTTATCCCATGTTTGTAGAAGTAACGACGTCGGTGTTGTTGGAAGTATGGCGAGACCCGGTCCAAGTTATGGCAGCGGTAGTCACTCCTTTGTTCTTGTGGGTCGGTATTGGTCTGTGACTTCGCCTTCGTTTCATTGTGTTAACCAGGTGGCCAGTTGACGGCTTTATAGTGCAGTACAGGAGACGTGGCTCGTAACGGGAACATGCCGCATGCATACATGCACACAGGCGATCTGTAATGTCGCATTTGCGGTCTCACGGTGCCACATGGGACGTGCGAAGTTTAACCACGTTGTTTTGTTCCGTCGGACAAAGTGACACATGGCGGAACATTGCGGGCTCTGGGCATCTCGGCGACCCAGCCACGATCAACAGTCGTGTTATTCAGACACGGATACCTGGTCAGCTGGATGATTTTGCCCAGTATTAAAGGAATTTAGGGTTTTAAAGTTTGTCAAAGATTTCTGAAAACGACTGCGTTTAAAGCGACTGGTACAAATACGGAGTTAAAAACGTATTTAAGGCACCCTGATTGCAGAAAAGAGTACGAATCACTTAGTCCCCGTGTTAATAATGGTATATTTATGTGTTATAAAACCGTATGCTTTATTTACGAGGAAGTATGCAGTGTTGATGTCTTATAACTACGCCTTGGCATGTGACGGGATACGCCATCGCTTCCCCTCCCCCATGCAGGCTGCATTCCAGGCGGTTCATGCTGTCGTTTCTAATCCTTGTAACTTGGGATCCCCGTCTACCCGCTCGCAGGCCAGTCTTCCCAGTATGGGAGCGATACGGAGGAGGACGGCATGGACTGTCCCCTGGACCTGTCCTCCAGCGCCAAGAGGAAGCGACGCGGAAACCTGCCCAAGGAGTCGGTGCAGATCCTGCGGGAATGGCTGTTCGAGCACCGCTACAACGCGTACCCGTCCGAGCAGGAGAAGGCGCTGCTGTCCAGGCAGACCCGTCTGTCCACACTACAGGTGCGACCGCTGTCAGCGCAGCTCACACGCTGCAGTTTTCAATTAATGCTCCAAAATCGTCTCGCTTTCATATTGGGTCCCTGTTCACTGCCCCCACCCCCCGCACATGCCCGATCGCCTCCTCATGCCTCATTGACTTTAAGATAAATAGCTCCTTTATATTGAAGGATCATTTTCACCGGCCCTGGGAATTAAATATTGTCCCCTTTTGGTGACTGTTATGCGGAACATGTAACCTACGAGCAAAAAGACTATGAGAAAGATGCGTTTTTTTTTCTTTTTTTGTTAATTTATAAGCCATTTTCCCCCGTCTCGCATCTGCAGTGCGACGAGTCGCCCTCCGTGTTGGGGATGATCGGGTCGGTCGCGCCGGTGCCTTTGAGCCGCGGTCGGTGGGGGGCTCCGCGTTTGCTCTCCGGAATTCCCCCCCGCTGTCTGGGAGCACGCATTTGCATGTCCGGGCATTATGCGCATCGCCTGCCCGCTTCAAACAAAGCAGTCGGGGCATCGCCATGACTGCTAGTAAGCAGCTGGCCGCTTTACGAGTAGGGGGAAGCGGAGAGAAGTGATGGGTATTTATAGCGGGGAATGACTCTAGCGTGGCTTTGATTTAACACGTGACTTAAAAATACTTTTATTTAAAATAGTGTTAAGTGCAGTATTTAATACATCAGGTTAAATAAGCGCACAATTATCAACAAATAGGCCTATGTATTAACGAGAAAACTAATTGGGAAAATCGGTGGTAGGTAATGAACGTTTGTGAATAAATTATTGAACAAAGTGGTTCAGTGAAATAGTTTGGCTAATTAGGCGATGATTTTGGATAAATACTACTGATGTAATGTAAGGTCGGGTATATAGCCTATTACAGGGACAGTTGCTCATTCTGCGTAATCGCCATTTCACCCAGGTCTGTAACTGGTTCATAAACGCCCGACGGAGGCTGCTGCCCGAAATGTTGAGGAAAGACGGCAAGGACCCGAACCAGTTCACCATGTCGCGCCGTGCGGGCAAGGTGGGCGACGGCGTGCCGCAGGAGAACGCTCCCCCCTGTGACGAGAGGGTGCTTCGCACGCCGAGCTTCGACTCCTGTGACGCCCCCATGTCGGCGGTGCTGCACAGACCGACTGTCATCTGTCACACCACCGTCACCGGGAACCCCGCTCACGCCTGCATGCCTGTCCCCCGGACCATGGAGCCCGGTCACAGTCTGTGCCATGGAGAGGTGGCGCCCCCCCTGGGGGGTGGCTCCAGCCCCCAGACGGGGCTCTTCAACACCCCGCCACCCACCCCCCCAGACCTCACCCAAGACTTCAGTGGCTTTCAGCTACTGGTGGACGTGGCCCTAAAGAGGCGTGCCGAGATGGAGAGGCAGGCTAATGCCTTTGTTTCCTGAAGGATCTCCCGATCAGGGCTGGGGGGGGGGGGGGGGGGGGGGGCACCTATTTCTGGGCTGCCAAAATCCAAACGACTCACCAGACGAAGCGTTCGGCGAATAGGACCTGGAGAAGCGCAGCCTTGCCACACGGGGATTTTAATGTCTATTTGCACATCGGAGGACCAGTAACAAACTAGACTTTCCAGGCCAAACCTAATGCTCTACATGCCTTTGCTTTTGTTTTGTAGAGATGATAGAGGCGTCTTGAAGGCCTGCCTGACTTTCCTTCTTTGTTTAAAAAAAAAAAAAAAAAAAGTTTGGCTTGATCATTCCTCGTTATTTTTACTTTAGCAATCTTTTAGTTGTGCCTCTACTTTTGTTTGCACAATAGGGTAAGGGGGGAGACGGGAGGTTGGTCCATTTGTCTAAAGGTTTCTGTTGGCATTAATGATGAACACCATTACTCCTCTGGTTGGTGGCTCTGTGTTATGTGGAAATATGTATGTATATTATATATAGTGTATATATTTTTATAACTTTCTTTTGTAGTTTTAAAACCTTTTTCGTTTTCCTTTTCTTTCGTCAGTTATTCGTTTTCCTTTGCTTTCGTCAGTCGTTGGGGTTGGGTGTCCTTGCTTTGGAGATTCATTTGTCTGGGTCTTCACACTGTGATACTTTGCCAAGCTGAAAAGGACCCCCCCCCTTACCAAAACTTTACTGCCTTTATGTTCTGCTTACAGCACGTGTGTACTTTTAGAAGTAAACTGGAAGGATGACACTAAAATGGCTTTGTGGTGCTGTTAATTCAAAAGGGAAAGGACCGTAACCTGTTTGAATGGGTATGCCGACTAAAATCGCAGGATATCTGAAGGCCCACCTTTTTCTTACTGTGCAATGTATGGCTAGTTCGGGTCACATGACCTCCAAATTTAAAAAAAAATAAAAATTCTAGGAGAACAGTTGATTTGTGTTGCAAGAATGTATCGTTGATCCTTGTAAAAAGTACTCTCAGGAAGCAGTGTACAGTGGTTAGGTTTAGTCACTCAACTGCTGTTGAAAATCATCCAGGGTTTTGTTACAGTAACCATGCAAATAGTGATTGGTTGTCATTTGCATGTAAAGTGTGCATGGTTTCATTCCGCATGCTGCCTGTGTCCTCGCTGCAGCCCAGATGCGACGTCCTCATGGGATAGGCGTGCTACCGAAGCTGCGGGGAAAGAAATCATTCTTGCGTTTTGTCGCATGTAGGCTGTATAAGTACCTCGATTAGCATAGTTTTGCATTAATTGGCGCAGGCCGACGCAGAGGTTTACGCATGAGGGGTATTGCAGACAGGGAACGCAGAGCGGCACCGAGCGTCTCGTTAGCGGGCCTGACGGAGACGCCCGTTTGTGTACGTCACGGGCGCGAGGCGCCACATCGCTGCCTCAGGGGCGCTCTGCACCGAGCCGGTTAATTAAGTCTACAAGGGCGACGGCGTGTCTCTGCCTTGGTCGTGACGGGGTGCCCGCGTCGCTGAATCCGTAATGCTGCTGCGGTTTATTTTCCAACGTGTCTGAGATTCGAGGGTGGATTGCGTCGCAGGTCGAGCGCAAGTGTGCTGGTGCATTTTGTGGCAGTGCATGTGTCACTTCCTAACCCTACTCGCGCACAGAAAGCCATTCAGCCATTCAGAGAACCAGATTCCTCTCTGGTCCTTACCGGCTGGTCGGCAGGTCCTGCTGACAGCTGATTGGCTGGCCGAAGTTTGCTCCCTATAGGTTTAACATCTGGATTGGTGGGTAAATTTACTGCTCTATAGAGAAGTGAAAACATTGGAAGCATTTTAGAATTTATATAGGGTGTCTCAGTGGGTGGTGCTGTGGCTTCAAACCTCAGGCTTGGAGTTTGAATTTCGCTCTTTCTGTTTGTGGAATTTTCCAGAGACATGCAATTGAGTAAATTGGCATGTGCGAGAGTGTCCTTTGATGGACTGGTATCCCATCCAGGTTACCCCCTCCCTTACAGTTCATCCGGCCTGGGATATGGACACCGTACTTCATAAACGGTATAGAATATGGGCGAATGTCCTGATTCATTATTTAAGGTTGGCCATCTCCTATTCACTGCTACAGTGCGTCTTAGCACTGGGCTGGATTTAAAGGCCAGTTACTTAACCAGTGGGTATAGCTGCAGTAAGACTCAATCTCCAGTTTCCCTCCCTAAAGACAGGACCCATGACGGCATCACTGTTTGACCTCATTTAGGAGGAAATGTAACAAAATTTGAAGGTGGGCGTGTCCCTTCCTCAACTGCCAACCCAAAAACACACAGATACGTTGATTTACAAGAGCGAATGAATCCTTCAGATCGCAGGGTCAAGTTTGGGCTTAAGACTTAAGTATCCCCTTCTTTTCCCCTTTTATCGGTCCTGATTTTCGCTCCTTCCTGATTCCAGGACAACGAAATCGACGACGAGTCTTCAGCGGAATCACAGGCAATTAGTACAATTAAAAAAAAAAAAAAAAACCAATAAGCCAAAAGGCCCTTTTAAGGTGCATCCAGGAGGAATGTAATAATAGACGTCACCTGAAAGCAAATTTATCTAAAGACACGAGCTTAAATATTATTACAGTTAGTGTTCACTTAACCAATAACCTAGCTTTAGATAAACGTTTTGTACACCTGGAAATGCTCACTCATTTAAGGCTATGCGAGTTTGACTGGTCATTAGGAGAGATATGTTCAGATTGGCTTTCTCTGCTGGCCCCGCTAGGTTGTCTAATGCGTTTAATATTAATCAAGATGGATGGCATCCCCCCCCCCACCCCGTGTCCCGTCTGACCTTATCAATCAGAACCAGCTTGGTTATCTTTTTACAGTTTAACAGTTTTTTTTCCAGGGGAATGTGGAACAGGTTTAACTATTTATAAATAAAGCAGAGCACCCGGAATCTGCTAATTATATCAGTTGATGTCTGGCGTTGTGTTAATTCCTAACTGCAGGGTACAAAGCAATTTTGCTGCTCATCGCTATTGGTCATACATAATTTTGATTGTTTACACTGGACGGTACGGCTGCAGCGTGAAATACATGGAGGTAATTATGATGGGATTTTTAATACGGTATAATCAAATGTTTACTATAGAGGAGATTTATTAAAAGAAATTTATAATAAAACATTTTCTAGGTCTCATATTTTTAAAGTTCTTGAGATTTATCGGTTAGTTTGTTTGCATATATCTCAGGACATACCCTTTTTGCCACACACTGCTTCCATAGTTACTTTTTCATAAATTGCTGTCTCTGTGTGGTCATGTTAGTAAATGTATATTTGAAGGCCATTTTTTTAAACAGCGTTACCCGAATTAACTATAAAACGTGACACAAATACAAAGTAGGCTTGATAAATATTGATTTAATTACTTTTTACATTGGGAAACATTCATATATGTACAGATATTCATTTTACTTGTTTTATCTCCACGTATACAAAGTCATCTAGCATGAGGATGTAAAAATCCTGAAATTTCTTCATAACAGATTATTTTTTTTCAATTTGCATTTGTCAGTCTGTCGCAAAGACGCCTTGACCATACCAACTGGTCTGCCTTATACAATAAATCTTTGTTTACATACTTAAACCTAGGGATCCAGATCAATATTTTAATATGCAGAATACACATTATTATGCGAAAATGCACAGTGCAAAATTCAAGTGCCTTTGAAACATTTGTAAATCTCAACAAAATAGTATAGCCTTCACAATTTTGGAAAAAAAAAACCTAATTGTTTAGCTCTATCAAGCTGGCAAGAAAATTTTCTTTTGTAGTTTTATTCACAAAGACCTAAATGTGGAAGTGAAATACTGAGGTGGCAGTAAATTATAAAAATACAAAATAGCTGAAATGTGTTGAGAATGTACACACCTCACTGAAATGTGTGACTGGGGGTGTGGGGGTCCTCTGTCTTAATACAGTCCCCGTTCTGTTGATGCTTCCACACTTAAGCGAATAACCCCCTTTTCAAGTCATAATTGAATATTTTTATTCATTTCACTGCTCCTTTTAATTAAACACAATTCAGCCAAGTCAGTGAATCCCGTAGTTTCCCCAATGAGACGAGATGAGTTAAACATGAGAGGTGTTAAAAGTCAAATGCACCAAAACGGTCGCAAGAAGAAACACGTTCTACCTAAATTTCTCTGAAAACCGTTTCCTGAACAACACTTTTGCTCCGTGATATTGCTCCGTCCGTGTCCCTGGACCTTCCTGTGTGTGACTGCTACATTGTGTGTTAAGGCAGAGAACTGATCAAGCATTTAATGTACCGCAGATGAGCACTAATTGTTCCACAGCCTGGGACTCCTCACCTAGAACAGAAAAAATCCACTGATTTGCAGTCTAATTTGACATTTTTACAGACAATTCAAAAGAGCAAGTCAGAAATTGCATTTGTATATTTCAAAGTAGTAAATCACTTGGTTGCCTGATGGAGAAATGGAAATACTTCAAGCATACAAATATTCATTACTGGATGTGTGGAGTATATTTGGGAAACAGAGCAACTGTCTTTAATAAAATGTTCCTTATTTTGGTTGGGATGAATCTAGTTAAATATACAAATTTGTCATTTGTTCTTAGAGTAAGAAGATTGTAAGTTCCAAAAAATTTAGTTGATGATTAAAGACATTATTTTGTATACAAATTCCCCTTGGTCCTTGAGGGTTCACAAACATATGCTGACATAATTAGAGCCACATATTGGCTGAAATAGTAGTCATAGTTTACATTGATGTGTACCTCATTTACCAAATTATAGTGACTAAACAAAGTCTGTATTGACTCCTGTCGACCCCACAGAAAGTTAGTGATGTCAGTATGGAATTCCCACTGAGCCTGTAGTTGCTGATGCTCTGAGAGGCACATGGGGGTGGGGGGTGTATGTCGCTGTTCTGTGCTCTAGCTTTGATTGGTTGGCCTCCCTGCCCCCCTCCCCTCCATAGCCACCTGTGTCAGGAATTAGGGACACACCTCACATGCCCCCATTCTGCATTCCTGTCCCCCAAAGCTGGGTATTCAGGGGGCCCTGGATCCCGTCGCTGGCCTGCGGCTTGGGGGGCATCGCCGGGGGGAACGGACTTTCCCGAGAGGTCGGCAGTTTGAGGAAACTTAAAAAGTTTTGCCGGAAGGGCAAAGGTCAGCCTGGTTTCAGCAACAAAGGAGTGAAATGGTGGCCTGACACGACGGCATGGTTAGGGCAGTGGAAAGGATTATAAAATACACTAATAAAGAAATAGATATATAAATAAATCAATCTTTATTCAGTGTGTTTATCATAAGTTTGCACACACAATGGCTGTGTCATATGATATACAAGATCAGGACAGCAAAACACTAAATGGAATCCAAATAGTTCACTGGAAATAATAATAATAATAATAATAATCATAATAATCATAATAATAATAATAATAATAACAGAACACAATTTAGATCTAAGCCTATATTAATCAGATTGTGTCTACATGCTCAAATCTTCTTTCGATTTCATTGTACAAACACAAATCCCCATTTTTCACACGAAGGCGTGAGACCGCTGGTCTGTTCTGCTCTATGTCCTGGAGGCTGCTTGACCAAAAACACTGGCCAGTATATCGACCTTGGAAATCAGGAAGCACTTTGAGAGACGCAGCCGTACCTCACTCACGCGCGCGCACACACACACACACACACACACACACACACACACACGGAAACGCAACACGTCGCACACTTTGTTTTTTTTTTTCCTTTTGGGAGACCCTGATTTTGCTGTGCTATCTGTTCCTCCATCTCTACCTGAGAGTTACCCCCAAACCAGCCCACCGTGATGCGGGCAGGATCAGGAGGACCGGAGCTCCACGCCCCCCCCGGGGAGGATCCTGGTGACCAAGCAGGTGAAGGTCACCCCAAAGAGATCACTATTAAAATGAAGCCCCTGCACTAGCAACTGGAAAGACTTCATTAAGAAAATAAGATGATGAAACCGTTTGCATTTCATGACTCTGTTTTTTTTTTATGGTATTCTCGTTTGCTTTCTCGCTGTCATATTCCGGTTAGCCTCTTTTGCGGGAAACTCGTTTGAGCCCCAAAAAGATCATTGAATCACAAACAGATCCACAAAAACTCCCCACCCGACTTTACAAAAAAATAAACAAAACAAACAAAAAAAAAAAACTTTCATCTATAATAAGCATTTAAGAATATTTTGTCCCACAGATGACTACAGCAGTGTTAATACAGAGAAATATAATTCTCTTCAAAGCATTCGCAATAACAAGCTTATGTATGATTAACGAACAGAAATAGCTACGGCATAATGAAGGCATCCTTTTAGATCGCGTATAATGTTTAAGACCGTCGACACCCCCCAGTTCCCCCTAAGCATCACGGTATTTTCATTTGACTGACTGCCCCATTTGCTTGATGTTCTTGATAGTCATCTTTCAAGGAGAATATTGCTTTAGGTGGCCCGTGTTGCACTGGTACCTCCAGCCACACCGAAATAAAAAACGCAGTTAGTGAGGGTTGGCGGGAATGTGTGTGTCCGTGCCCAAGCCTCTGGGAGCCAGCTGCCTGTTCTTGCCCACTGAGGGTAGCCATGGTGACGGCTTCACTTGCTGGGTAGTTCTGGTGGACCTCTGGAACCGGGCTCTCCGGTCGGTCCTTGGGAGCCCACAGAACACAGTCCTCTTCCCATGCATCCCAGGGCCAATTCCAGGAGGTTTAGCAGCCTTCTGCGCACACACACGTGCACACGATCTGCGGCCTGTCTTCAGGTTGGGGGTGGCTTCGTCTTTGTACGCGCTAGCTGTGGTGTACTTTTCGTGTGGCTACGTGAGTGTGCCGAAGGTGACAGGCTCTGCTAAAGAGGCAGGGATACGAACAACTCACCCATTGAGAACATTTGCGCCACAGCCGCGCGGAGAGAAAGCAGGACGGGTGGCAGGTGTCACCATCACGTCCCTCGTCGCTCCGACAGGCCGTTAATGCATGCATCTAGCCCTCAGCCCTCTCTGGGCGAGATGCGTGTTTGCGGATGTGCGGCTATGAGGATCCTATGAAGAAAAAGTGCCTTACCCTGATTTAAACCTCCGGTCCAAAGACGTGTGCATTTAGTGAAGGGAAACAGAGGTGTGTGGAGACACTTTCTCTGGATATGAACGTGATTTCTCTGCCGCGGGCGCATGTGAGTGTGTGTGTTCTGTTCCCTGCAGTGGCTCGGCGGCGGTAGCGCTCATAGCCGGGTCTGGGCCTCGGGGATGTAGATCTCGATGCTGTCCGCGCTCTCGGTGGCTGAGTTCTGCCGCACTGAGGCAGCCCGTTTAGCGGCCAAGAGGCGTTTGCGAGCCTCCAGGCGCTGCCGCTCAGAGCTCTCCAGGGACCTGTCGCGTGCCAGAGGGGGGTGGGCCTTCGGGGGCTTCTTTGGCACGGGAGGGGGGACCCTCCTCTCCTGGACAGAGATGACAAAACAGTCAGTTAGCGGCGGCTAAGCTGAGGGCCGGGAGGCGAGTCGGAGGACGGCCCCGCTGAGCGCCAGCGGACGCCCGCACACCTAGCCGGCCGCAGCCGTGGCGTTACGGCTCTGATGATGGTGCTAGAGTTCAAAGAGAACTCGTGGAGTGCGTGGGGTGAACGTGCGACCGGCGGCGAAGACCCAGCGCGTGTCACATGGAATGATCGGCTCACTGTCAATGGGAAAAACACAAATAAAAACGTCAAGATGGAAAAAAATCACATCAGGGAAAAAGAAAAAACACATCCAGCACATACAGTATGTGGAACAGAAGGTAACAAAAATTAGGAAATGGATAAAAATTATTTAAGACTACATATAAATTACAGACATGAAGCATATTGATACATGGTAAACACACAACAAGATGACAATAATTAATGAGAAGTTTTCGTTTCCTATTAACAAATATCATACATCACGACAAATTGGGTATTTTTCATCGCCAGTATGCTGGCCTCACTGTTTCCAGGCCAGAGTCTGAGTGTTTACACTTGGGATGGACCACCAACCCAAACTACCACCCCCACCTTCCTCTCCGGACGCTCCAGAGGCCTCCAGCTGTTGGCCTTCAGCTGGTGCAGCTCGTCGAACTTGAGGCTGATGTTCTCGATCGACAGCTGCAGCATGTCCCAGAACCCGGCCAGGTCTTGCGACATGGGCCGCGGATGGGTGTTTGGGTTCTGGGAGGGGGGCGGTGAAGTTTGTCAGTTTTCTCCCTGCCAGCAGGAGGTGCTCTTCAAGGAACTGGAATTATACACTGAATGGAGCCAGCGAGGTGATGACTACCTTTAAATATTTTAATATTGAAAATCACCACAAACATTAATTGCTAATTACTTTGAATTGAAGTGCTAAATTCATTTCTTTGCCTACATTTACTGCTGGTCGCTCTACTGCTGTACATTTGGCAAATAAATTTTGATTTGATTTAGATAATAATAACAGTTAAGGCCTAGCAGTTGTACATTAGAAATATTTTCATCTATCTAAAATAGCTGAATGTAAATTGTAGGCCATTATAGCTGTGTTAGCTGCTTTGGCCAAATGTAGCCCAATGAAGAGCAGTCGTCAGAGCCTGTGGCCCTCAGAGACTGCGGCCCTCAGAGACTGCGACCCTCAGTGACTGCGAACCTCAGCGACTGCGACCCTCAGAACCTGCGACCCTCAGTGACTGCGGCCCTCAGCGACTGCGACCCTCAGCGACTGCGACCCTCAGCGACTGCGGCCCTCAGAGACTGCGGCCATCAGAGCCTGCGGCCCTCAGAGACTGCGGCCATCAGCGACTGCGGGCCTCAGAGACTGCGGCCATTAGTGACTGCGGCCCTCAGAGCCTGCGGCCCTCAGAGCCTGCGACCATCAGCGACTGCGGCCCTCAGAGCCTGTAGCCCTCAGCGACTGCGGTGGCTCCTACCAGATTCTCCTCACACAGCTCCTGGAATTGCTGGAACTTCTGAGACATGAGCAGCTGGGCGCTGCCCACTGCACTCCGGATCTTCCCCAGAACTGCGGGAAGACACACAGAAGGGGGTGTGGTCAGGGTCGGGGCCTGTGTGGCATCACTGTGGGGGGGTGGGGCCTGCCTTAGCTAACTGGGAACACACTTAGTTTATAAATAGCCGGTGGTGGGGGGGGGGGGGGGGGGGGGGGGCAGCAGACAGGAAGCAGATGGAAGCTCGCTTGCTGCAGTGAGTAGCCCACACGCGGGGCAGGGAATGGGGACGGTTGTGCTTCGGACCCCACTGTCAGTCCTTGAGCTCCTGCGTTCAGAGCACTACCAGGGCCTTGTGAGTAGTGTTACTGTGGGAGGGAGGGGTCGGGTTTCACCGCAAGGTGAGGCTCTACCAAGAGGTGTAATTTGACTGCATGTAATGTGTATGGCAAACGATGACATCACCACTCTGACATCTGTGACTCAGGAATTACATATCGAATGAACTAAATTGTACTCCTCAGGCTCTTTCATCCTCGTTCAGTCATGTCATCTATCATGCTGGTCACCAGTGTAAAAGCCCCTGCCCCCCCTGAACTGCGCCTGTCAGTACACTGTTGCCTGAAGTCATAGCATTACATGCTGAATCATTTTAAAGCCTAGTGCATGTCATCAAGTGCAGTTGACTTCAGTTGTGTACATTTAGTTAGTGGTCAAGTATGGTCAAGTATGGTTAAGCATGGTCAAGTTAGGTTGAGTATGGTCAGTTATGGTCGAGAACGGTCAAGTATGATCAATGACGGTCAAGTACTGTCAAGTGCATTCAAGGATGGTCAAGTATGGTCAAGTTCAATCAAAGACGGTCCAGTATGGTCAAGTACGGTCATCTATGGTCAGATTGAAGTGGCATGCTCACTGTCATCAGGCAGGTCATTCTCCTGCTCCTCCTGTTCCATCTGCCGGCACCAGCCCTCCATGCGGTCAGTTTCGGCCTGGAGCAGCTTGAGGAACCAGCGGCCGTCACGCTGCACGGTCCAGGCAGCCCTCTGCACGCTCTCCATGGGGTCTTCGGTCACGCTGTCGATCCAGGGGTCGGGTGGTGGCAGGATGGACGGATCGAAGCCCACGTGCACGTATTCGTCATCTGTCGCACACGCATGGTAATGGTTCCCCGAGCCCTGGATGCTGACCGTTGAGGTCGTGGCTTCCCGTGAGTATTGCCGCGAGAGGCCGGCGGACAAGGGCGGCTCCGGGATCGGGGAGTCCGCAGCGCCGTCCGATGCCTCGCTGGTGTCCAGGTCCGCCTGGACCGCCGCAGTCACGCTGTTGGAACGAGCCAGCCGCCGGTAACTGCTTAAACACAAATAAGGCCTCCCGTTATCTTCCAGCAAAACCAAATGGCGAGTCTTAAGATGTCTATAGACAACTATCTATTCACCCCAGGGCAGGCTGTTGTACCTTTGAGTCCTGTATCTGAAATTCTCCAGTAAAAAATCCAGGTCTATATATGAGTAAAACTGTAAACTACTTACAGTGGGTGTAGAAAAGAATCATCCCGTCAAAAAAAAAAAAATAAATCACATTTTGTTACTGAAATGAAAACAGAATAGAACTGAATTTGTTCAGCTTCATTTACTCAATGCAACTGATAATATCCAAGTGAAAGAAAAAAATATTGCAAATGTCCTGAAAAGTACAGAATGATTTCGAAGACCTTACCTATCCGTAGGAGCATGGTTAAGTCCATAATTAAGAAGTGTTTGGGACTACCCAGACCCTGCCCAGATCAGGCTCTCTCTCCAAACTCTCCAGATCTGGCGGAAAGCCAATGCAGCTCAGCATCCAAAGAACACCAAGCCGGCAGAAAAGCACGGTGGTGGCAGCAACCTGCAGCGGGGGCTGTCTGTCCACAGCAGGGACTGGAGCAACTTGTCAAACCTAATGCCTTCTGCCAGAAAGGTGAAAGTGAGAAGAAGTCTCACCTTTCACCGTGACAGTGACCGGAAGTGCACAATCAGATTGACCATACAGTGGCGGAAGGAGAAAAAGGTGAATGTCCTTGTGTGACCTAGTTAGAACCCAGACTTAAACCCCATTGAAAATCTATTGAATGACCGGAAGATTGGAGTCCATCAGTGGGCACCATCAATTTGACTGAGCTTGAACAGATCAGTAAGGAAGAGTCAGCAAATATTGCTCAGTCTAGGTGTGCTAAGTTCAAACAGATCCAGACTCATGGCTGTAATTAAAGCAAAAGGGGGCTCCACAAAGTAGTTATGTAGCATCTTTTATCAGTCTCAGTTATTCTTGTTTTTTATTTGTGATTATTTTTCAGGAATGTGCTATTTTTTCTTTCACTTGGATATTATCAGTTGCATTGAATAAATACAGCGGGACAAATTCAGTTCTGCTGTGTTTACATTTCAGGCTGTAAAGTGACTAAATGAATTTTTTTTTGACGGGGGTGGGGGGGGGTTGATTCTTTTCTTTACCAATGTGGCTTGAATTTTAATCAGCCAAACCAACTGGTTTCCGAATTAATATTAACCAAAGTGTTGACGTGTTCTACATTTTTTTTCCTCCATCATGAAAAATAAAAATGGTACGATTCATCTTGACTCAACTCTACAACTAAACAAAATAAATACTAATGATGTACGGTGTTATTTTGAAATTGCTCATTTTCAGCAGTAAAGCATAATAAATATCCATTCATTCATCCACCCATCCATCTATCCATTGCCCATAATCACTTATCCAGCATAGTGTCACCCAGAGCCTGCAGTCTATCCCCAAAGGCACAAGGTACAGGGCTGGGGACACCTTGGAGATAGTGCCTGTCTCCCACCAGAGGATTCTGGTGTCGAAACATTAAGGTGAAACACCTGGTGTTCAGAACAGAGACAACGTTCATATAAATATGCACCATGATAAGCAATCAATACCGGATCAATGTGTAAATCAACGTGCAATGGCACCATCGACGTAAACTAGACATGTACCCCGGCGCAACTCAGCTAGCTGGGCACGCCAGGGCCTGTTCCCAATGGCATCGCCATGCCAACCACGTTCATAATCACAGGCCCCGCCTTCTTCCCCATCTCTGTGACAAGTGCACGTCTCACGGGCCGGGGGAGCAGACGGTTCTCCTGGCCGAGCATCGGGGAGTCGGGCAGGGAGCAGTGGAGGTATTAAGCTGACTCAGGGCTTCTCGTTAGTGACGCCGTCCCGGAAAGCCATCGCCTTTGGGCCGCCAGTCATATAATCTCTGATACATCTGCCATAAAAGGACCTGATCTTCATAAATGCGGACTTACACGCTACAGCTTGCCCTATGCTGAATAAAGAGCCCCCCCCCCCCTTCCCAATGACAGGGATGTTGCTGTAATAAAAGAGGGGAGGGACATTTTCCATCCATTCCTAACCCCGCTGGGAGCCCCCGCCCAACAAATCACAATGTGCCAACAGACAACACAGGTCCTGTTGAGTGAGACTGCTTTGCTAGTTAAACAATCCCCCCCCCCCCTTTGCTTGTTTATCTCTCCGCCCCCCCCTCCCCAACCCAAATCATTAACTTCTATTCCTACAAGATCAAACGAGCAGGGAGTAACACGCAGGAGCAGGTGGTGAGCGAGGCGGCAATGCTTTCATAGTCTTGTGACTGCCACCCTTAACAACCGCCTCAAGAAGGGAGGGGTGGCGGATCGGGTGAGTGAACCTTTCGGCGTGGACGCGGGTCTCTCCCAGGTGCAGTCTATCGAACGGGATGGCAAATCGCCCTGGAGAATAATGCTCTCAGCCGTAGTGACGGCCTTAGTGACAATACCATGCTTTTTTTTTTGCAGCTCTGAAAAGGGCTGAATTCTGAAAGCCAAACGCCGGCAAGGATCTAATTTCCATCGGTAATTCAGAGCCGGGTGCCTTGACTTCGTTCACCTGGAGAGCGATTTCTTTTTTTTTTTTCTTTTTCTAAGGGTAGCTCCAGGTCACATCGATCCACCTTCATCCCTGTGAAGAGCTCGTCCTGCTTAAAGGTTAATGTGTGTCACACGGGCCAGCCGTTTCCCAGACTCCGTTCACAGCAAACATCATTAGCAGACAGTCACTGCCAGTAACCTATTCCGCGGAACAAAAGGGTGAGCATGACAGGTATTTAAACAATATGTATTTTGACATTAATTGATTAAAATATCATTTTCAATCATTATTGAAGGACAAAGTGTTTTTAGTTAAGCACGGTCACAGGAGATTTTTGTTATTTCAAACTGGACTACAAGCATTTCCATCAACTTGCTGCATTAACCTTGTAATATGCAAGCGACTTGCAGGGCATCAGGCTGGGGGAACTCAGCCCACGAGCCCAGAACCTTTTACACACAGAAGAGCACCCACTGTGGCTGGAGGTATGAACTGCAACTCCAAATTGATCAGGATTGTCCACTGATTCACTTTCAATTGGGAGCCTAAGCAAAAGTCATACATGTGGATGCTTTTCTTTCTACTCGGGCAAAGCACCCTGGGAGGGGTGATGAGAAGGTTGAACATATGGGGTGGGGGGTGTACATTTTCCTCCAGAATAAAGGGACCTGGACCATTGGGGTGATTTTCAAAAAGACAAAAGATCTGCCGTGAAAGTGTCCGGGTAGCCGAGTAGAGGCAGGACAGCCGGCAGCCCCCAGGGGAGGGCTGGGGTGGCTCCAGTTCAGGGCCCACTAAAGGCTGCTTATATGGAGGGCTCTTTTCAAACAGGAGGGTGGTGCCCCTCCGTTCAACAGACCCCCAACTGAGGTGGTCTTTTGAGGTGGTGTCTGAGTAAGGGAGTGTTTATGGTCAGTACTGTTGACCATCTGGGAGTCTCCTCCTCCTCCGCTCCCATGGACCTGGTGACGTTTACGACCCCCCCCCCCCCATTGGGTGGAAGGTACACCCCTCCCATGGCTGACCTCTGACCTGTGTGCCGTCAGTTGGCGCATAGGGACCTGTGATGTGTCAGCCCGGTGTGCATTAGCCATGCCATGTCATTCTGGCTTTTTTTTGGCGGGGGCCAGGGAGGGGGAGGGGGTGAGCTTCACAAGACTCAGAATGTTTGCCGGAAAAGATCCCATCCACCACTGGTGAAAACAAACACTCAGTCATCCGCAAAGTCGAGCTGGTCAACCGACGCAAAAGCTCTGCTCCCTAATTCTGGTCAATAATTAACAATATTCACTGGACCATCCAGTCCCAGGACAAATAATGGATACAGAACAAAAACATAGCACAGGCTCAGTTACCTGGAGAGGATTATTACTTTGGGATAGATAAATTGAGCGATTAGAAAATATTGTGGCATTTTTAGTATGTTCATGTAATCTGGACAACAACGAAGTCAGAAAATGAATGTTACAGGGGGAGCGGAGGGATGGGCTCTGATTGGCTAGTCCAGTCGGGTCAGGCACCGGTTACCTGGTGTCCCTGATTCAGGATCAGCTGACGATTCGCTGAATGTTAACCTTAACTACTATGAAGGGAAAAAAAGGGAGTCAGTTTCAAGGTTAGTTGTTCAGGGGAACTCCCTTTGTCCCGGGGATCAATGACACCCTTAAGTCAGCTGTGCTGTGCCCTCATTGGATGGCCTGCTTCCCCATGGGCGTGGCATTCTGCAAGCAGGAGGCGGTCCTTCGAGCCCTGTGGAGCCCCTGGCCATAAGCTGAAGGGCAGCGGAGAGCCGAGCTGCTCTGACAGCCCAATGAGAGGAGGATGCTGTGGATGGTGGGGCAGCAGGCAGCACATATCTGGAACCATGCAAGGAGGCTCAGCTGCCTCTCGTCGGCTGCTGCTTGGAATAACACGTCTGAGGCTTCTTATTCACGAAAAACAGCCATCAAATTACTGCATCGTTTTTCAGTGCCTCATCAAAATTGGTCCCTTCAGTTGGCTAAAATTACCCAGGGGCAGGGATCTGTAGAGGGAGGAGAGGGTGTGGACAGGAGAGAGTGGAAGTACAGAGATGACAGCCAGAGTGGGATGAAGAAGAGAGGAGTAGGGAGAAGAGGGTACTTAGTGTGAGGGGAGTATGATTAGGAGTAAAGGGGAAAAGGGTGAAGAGAAGAGGAACAGGGAGTATAGGGTAGAGAGTAAGGAAAATAAGGTCAAAAGGAGAGGTGTAAGAAGTCAAGGGTAGGGAGTAAGCGGTAGAGAGAAGGGAGTATGAATGGAGTATGATAGGGAGTAAAGGGGAAAAGGGTAAAGTAGGAGTAGAGTAAGGAGTAGAGAGTGAAGAGAGGAGGGGAGTGTAGTTTACTTTTCCTCTAGGTTAAAATGAAATGGGAATAACCAGTGTGGCTGTTCCACACACTGTACGTTGCTGTCAGACTTTACAGTGCCCCCACTTACCATCTCTCATCCTCCACCTGGATGCCCACTGACTGGAACTTGTGGTCGTCCAAGTCCTCCATGTCGTCAGGACCGTCCACCTGGCGAGTTTGACATGATCGATATGAGACGCAGGGCTCGGGATTCTCCACGCGGTGACCGATTCCCGAACTGCAGCGTCCATGAGTAAGAGTGGAGTAAGGCCGGGGGGGGGGGGGCACCTGGATGCCGATGGAGAGGCACTTGCTCTTGCGGAGGGCCTCCCTCCTGTCCTCGGGCGTCTGCCCGAAGGCGGCGTTGACGGCGGTCATGGTGACGATGGTGCTGCTGCTGACGTGCTGGCTGGCGGGGCCGTGCACCTGCGCGTTGGCCGCCTCGATGGCCGCCGTCAGCGCCTTCATGCTGTCGATGCTCTCGGTGGAGTTGCTGAGGCCGGATTGGATGGTGGCCTCCCCGCGCACACCGGGCCCGTCCAGGTGCGCGTCCTGCGCCGACTCGGTGCTGCTCTGCGCCGTGATGGAGATGAAGGGCTTGGTGGCGGTGCGTGGCGGCACGGGGGGCGGGGCCTTCTTGTAGGTCGTGATGCATGACGACACTGCGGGGCGGGGGGGGTGGTTTAAACGTGGGAATCAGCCCGTGGGAAATCTCTCACACACGTAGACTTAGACATGGAGGCGTGAGCACGGTCACATGTACACGTAAACACACATGGCCTCACACATGCAGGTCGCGGCGTGCATCCAGGGCAGACCCCCCCCCCCCCCCCCCCCCCCCCCCCCCCCC